TACGCAGGAGGCTCAGACATCCTACGGGACCCGATTCGAGGTTAAGGCGTATGGCGAGCCTAACCCCAGGTACTGCAGAATATATAGATCCTCTGCAAATACCGCCCTGGGAGCAGGCTGGCGAATGGTCCATCACCCTCGCCAAGATCGGTTATATCCCAGGACAGTCAAAGGAGGAGGCTGCCCGCTCGTTTCTACAAAGGATAAACGAGTTTTCAAAGCGCGATATAATAATCTATACAGACGGCTCGCTGGCTACTCATAGCGACAGGACTTTAGCTGGAGCAGGCTGGGCTGGTTATCAGGCCGGTAAAAGACTACTCTGCGGGTCCGAAATACTGGGCTCTCAGATAGAAGTATACGATGCGGAAGCCCACGCAGCACTACGGGGGCTTCAGGAGGCTGTAAAGCTTCCGTCCAACAGCATGGCAGATAACGTCCACATCTGCCTCGATAATCTCGCGGTTGCGGGTAGGCTCATCTGTCCAAGTCCCGGAAGCAGTCAAGCAAAGTTCACCGCCTTCCAAGAGCTGTCCAAAACCTGGTCACAGAGAGAGCGAAAACCCTGGACATCCCCGGGACAAGTGTATATCTGGTGGTGCCCAGGACACGTAGGCATCCCCGGAAACGAAGAAGCAGATGTCCAGGCCAAAGCGGCCTGTGAGCAACCACCCAAGACACAACACCCGGCCTCATTCGCACATATAAAGAGAATCGCGAGATCCTACACTTGGAAGAGTTTCAACGATCGATGGGCCACTACCTGCCCTCAACAGTATCGAGATCTAGGGATCGCTATCCACCCGCGACCCCCCGAACTTGGCCTGCCCCGGCAACACCTAGGCAGATTACTCGCAGCGAGGTCGCACCACGGGGATTTCGTGACCTACCACGAGAGACTCCAGCATCGCGACGCACTGCTCAACTGCGGGTGTGGAAAGACAAAGACACCAGTCCACTTCTACTTTTGCAAGCGCGGCCGCAAGGCCACGCCCGGTCATCTAAAAGCGCATATGGCCAAGAATAGTATAGATTCCCTCCTAGGCACGGCCAAGGGAGCTCGTTTGTTTTGCCAATGGGCGGAGGAGACCAATTTCTTTACTGAGATCTGCCCATCGCACTGAACAGGAATGTTAGATGAAGACAGTCCCCTGTAACATAGATTCGACTAGCATAGACCATGCCGGCACTGCGCCCGGCACGTCTCACGTGATGAGACGTTAAATTTCAATCAATCATTCAATCAATCATTCAATCAATCAATCAATCAGTTAGGACCAATAGTATCCATGAAGGATCTAATGACCCCAGTTATCAGTGAAGGAGGGAATGGATATATAAGGACAGGACTCCCAGGCATTTCATAGATAGACAGTCTCTACTTCAGTGATCAATCTAAGCATCAATCTAACCCATTGGTGAGGCAAATGGGTTAGATTTTCCTTATGTTCTATTCCTGAAATCGTTGCTAAGACTAAACGATCCGTCACGTAATCTTTAACTCCTATACAAGAGCTACTTACTATTTTACCTTCCTCGTATAGTAGTATTACTTCCGTTTCTATCGGTCTTTCCCTGATATCTTGTCACGCCGTGCTAGGGGTTGCAATCCTTGCCACTACGCCACCGTACCAGATGTCTTCACCAAAAGAGACCAATACCAAAGTCCCTGACTTTGATATCTGCAACCACTTATCAATCTGTTCAGACCAGTGTAGGTCAATCACGTGACAACCGTCACATATCTTATATTTAGCTACTTTGGGGATAGATATAGGGGCTACTTCGTATTCTACTCCTTCCGCTAGCAGTTGGGTTATCTTATGGGATGTATCGTACCTGCATCAAGGCATAGTTCTTCCTTTCCGTGGTAGGATTTAATGCAGGCCTGCTAACGGACCTATATGTAGAAACAACGGTTCGCAACAAGGCTAGTATTAACCGGCTAACCGAATCTATGCCTAGTTGCGTTAGAGAGCTACATCGCGTATGGGGCTACTATACGCACTATTGCAGAGGAGAAGCAGGGCTTTGACGTGTTTCATTATTCAATATACTTAAGAAACACTAATATAAGTAAGCCGGTGGCTAAGGTGTTGAAGGTCAGTGTGCTGAAACGGGGTCAGGCGGTCAGTAGGATATACCTACCACCTAACACACTGAACAGATGGCTCCAGTACCAACAGATCCCATCTGTCGGTCTTATCAGACGAAGATCGTGGTACTGGTTATAAGAGCGAAGCTCTTACATGTCTGGTGCGTGAGTTAGTCGGATATGCCTCTGATACTCGTATCGTAATAGTAGGATCTCGAACGTAAAGATAAGCTAAATAACTAGATAACTAAATAACTGACTGAAAAGCGAAGGTGAAGATATAGATAAGAAGGAGATGATGATATGAAGATGAGGATGATGATGCGTGAAGATGGAGGACTTGTGTTCTACCCTGCCTCTGTGCCTCTTAAAGAGAAAATAAACTTTCTCCTAGCCCCGTAACCTATTTCCCTGATGTCCGGCCTTACCCCGTTACAGTGCCTCGAAGTGGGGTCGGTGGGCTCGAGACTTTTTAAGCCTGATTTAACTAGCCCTTCTGCTCCCTTGATCGTTGACGGATATCTGCATGTAGCTAAATACAGTGAGGCTCGTTCGATCCATACTTCTGTGATAGATGATAATCACTACTAGTGTTAGTAGGCGATAGTACGGTTCTAACGGTCTTAACTTCCGGCTTGGAGGGTTGTTTGAAGAACCGTTAAGACCTCGGCTAGTTTACATATTATAGGGACCTCCCTGGTGAACAGACTTAGTGGCTTTCTCATTCTAATCGTTTTGATCCATTTGCCGAATAAATGAAGACATCACAATACCAATCAACGTAAAAATTGATAACTGGATTGTTGAGTTGAAAAGGTTCGAAACGCCAAAAATGGGTAGCTCGCTAAGGGATTCTGACCTTATAGGTGGATCACGTTAGTGTTCGATCTCATTCCGACTCCACTGCAGATCCTGCACAGATCAAGAACTCGCTTAACTGTAACGAGGCAGAGATATTGCGAGTGCGAATGGAATTTGCGATACCAGATAGCCTCTACTGTAGATACTAAACTAAATAAGGGACGAAAACGATGGGAGTTACAGGTGCCCGTTCCTCTGTTAGGGGAACGGTCTGGGACAGCCCATTCCGGGGTGTCCCTGCCTATCGTCCTGGTCTATGTGGCAGGCGGCACAAAAACCAGAACACGTGGTGGTCGAGAGCAGGAGGGAAATTCTTCCTCTCGTGACCAACCCTCTCAAATGCCGCGTGTTTCTTCACGCCGTCGAGCTCCAGATCGTGTCATGATTGCGTGTTGCTCAAACCCCTGGTGATGCAACCTACAAGGAAGGTAATCATGTCGATTAACGGTACCAAAGATGCCTGCGTCGATCTAAAGCGGATCAAGGTCTGATTGGGTACGATTCATGGCGCAAAGAGTATTTACTCGTAGTTGCGCGATACTCAAGAGAGAGAGGCGCTTGGGACGACTATAGACTTTCCATGTGAGTTCGCCTGAGCGTACAATCAGACAAGGAATCCTTATATTCCATCTATTCTAGAAAAGACCAAAGTCCGAAAATGTATCGAGCAACATATCTCGCGCCCCTCTTTTCGAAGTCGATTGAACTGAGATATTGTGAGAGAATCTGTCAAGGCCAAGATAATGGTTATGGACCAAACCTTCGCAGTCGACCTGAAGGCGTCGACAAGTTATAAGGTTTTTTAATGGCCTGTTGGACGGCCAGTATGATCACGCCATGATAATCTGGCTCTCAAGATCACGTTTATTTAACCATGAGCAGTCCTCTTCGTACGACCAATCAAGAAGCCTTTCATACCTTCATTCCTAAAATCTAACTTGTTCTGGATGTGATCTCGTTCCGAAGACGACCCAATCCAAGGCCATGATCCCAACATGTAGCTCGCGACGTTTGGTTTCGCACCGAGAGGAAACTTAGAGTTCTCATTGGCCCCGGCATCTCAATTTCCGCGGAGGAGCGAGTTGGGAACGAACCCTGTTGTTTCTATGGACAATTATGATGGATTATTATCATTCCTAAAGAGTTTCATGGAATCCCACGAGTGAGGGTAAAATTCTGGAGTCAATAAGTGAGCACGTTAGTATGAGATAATCAATTGCGTTCTGAGTGATTGGTTATACTGGAAATGATCGGTGTCTGATTGCCTTGTCTAGCTAGGGTTTTGTCAAGTACTCCTTTAGCACTCCGAATCCGTGAAGTTCTAAACACACCACAGGATCATTCCGATTAGGATTAGTCTGCTTGCACCGACGACATTTGTCCCATCTTCTCGATTCGCATTTACCCGCAATCTTCAAATCGTGGCTAACTTGGTAATGTCTTAGACCCTTTACGTTACCTCGAAGAAGTTGAGAGGGAAGGTTCAGGCAAGCTTTCAGTTACTTGATGAATGCCACAAACAATAACTTAAGGCTGGCGGTCACCCGTTTGCTCCAAACTCTATTATACTGGTCCTCTCACCCGGACCCATCATCCTTCCGTGTATAGCAGGGTTACCTCCCTGACTATGCAAATAAGGTTTGAACAAGGGGCCTGCATCTCACCACCCACATACCTTCTCAGATCAAATTGTAGTGCAGGACGAATGGGATTGGGGAGTCAGGCATGCCACCGGTACAACCTCCTAGGTCCTGGACACAACAACGAATCATGCCAAATCCTTGATCTACTCCATACGCATGATTCACGATCTATTGGCTAAGCGTCCGTGTACAAATGGGATGTTTTGACAAACTACGTCGCCCGCAGTGGTCGGTTTTTTTTTCTTGCCACATATAACCAAGAAATCTTCAGCTCCGTAGAATAGTGTGTTTGTCGTCGAGATGCTTGGCCTCGAAGGTTCATGAACATCTCGACGACGAAATCTACGCGTACGCATACGCCCAATTGTCGGGATCATCGGAAATCTCGAAGTCCACTCCCAATGGAGCTCGACCCCGTCAAGAACCCGGAGTACTTCTCCACGGAGACGAGAGGACATTTGTACATTGGCCTGGCCGCGTTCCTCATGACCGCAGCGACGACGGCGGTAGCATTGAGATTCTACACGAGGCGCATCTTATTAAATCAGCTGGGGTTCGACGACTGGTTATCGTTTGTGGCGTTGGTGAGTCTCTTCTCCCACTGGCTACGGATGGGATAACGAAGGCAAATGACAGACGGAAGGCTGATCTAAGTTGCGTCTAAGTTCTTTACAATCGCAACTGGAGTAGCACAATGTTGGCGTACGTCGTCCAGCAGCTCTACAGTATTTATACACACAATAAACTGACCTTTCACAGTGACAAGGAATGGACTGGGACACCATATCGGCACGTTGCCACAGCCAGACGGGTTTAAAGCTTACATGCTGGTGCGACAAGACATTCTAATTATACAAAAATCACGTTAAACGCTAATGCTTGTCCCAGAATTTCTGGATCGTCATCGTCTTCTATAATACCAGCATCATGTTTGTGAAACTCACCTTCCTCGCGCAGTACTACCGAGTCCTGGCGATCCAGAAAATGCGCAGAGTCTGCTTCGTCGCCATGGTCGTGATTGGTAGCTGGAGCTTTTCTCAGCTCATGATTGCCATCTTTATATGCGTCCCCGTTGCCGGGTTTTGGGACCAGAGCCTCGGGGCGAAGTGCATTCCCACCCTACCAGAGTGGTACCAGAATGCGGCGGGCAACATCGCTACGGACATTGCCATTTTCGTCATTCCGTTGCCGGCACTGAGTAATTTGAACCTCCCGAAAACGCAAAAGCAAGTACCCTTTGAACCACCCTCTCTAGATACTTGTTTCTCGAGGATAGTGAACGCTCTGTAGAGCAGCCTACCCCTGAGACGTGTCTTCAATTCCCTTAGCTGGTCTGTCCTTTCGTTTATACTGACACCGATGCTTGACAGAATTATACTTATGGTAATCTTCTGCTTGGGATTCTTGTTAGTACCGCCTACTACAGGGTACCAATTAGTTGCCCCGTTTACTCATAACTAACCCCCAACAGCACTTGCGCTATCTCCATCATCCGCATCAAGTATCTGCGGTTGGTCGTCGATATAACCTGGGATAATTTTGACGCCTCCATATGGTCCCTGACTGAGATCTGCTCCGGCATCATATGTTCGTGCCTCCCCAACCTCCGGCCTCTGGCATCGCGCTGGAGGCATAGTCTGGCGATCCACATCACCAACTCCACACGGGGGTACAGGGGCTTCCCCCGATCCAACAGCAACAAATCAAATGATATCGAGGCGGGAATAGATTACCACCGGCGTCAGGGTCCGGAAGCTGTCGCGGCGATGCGTAACCACCATGGCAGCGAGGACCCTCTTCACGCCCACAATGATACGCTGCTCCGACATATCGACGGCGCCAACGAATATGACAACATCCTGGGGCTCCAGGAAGCGAGAGGGGCTACTCGATATGATGTAATGAGTAATCCAATCATGCGCAGGGCGGCAGAGGCAATATAGTTCCAGCCTGACTAGACGTGGATAAGGACTGGCATTTCACAGATACCTGTTGTGGAACATGACGGAAGTTTTATTAGCTACCACATGGATGTCTTCTTCACTATGAGGATCTACATAGAAAATATGATCAAAACTATGAACAATACCTGATATATGACAAAGGATCGTTTTCATAATCCGCGGTGACTGCTGCCCCTCAATAGCACTCAGCTGACCCTTCCTGTGTCCTAGCGACGGACGATGACTCAGATTTTGAATTTCAAACCCATGATCTATTATCCCCTCAGTACTGCTAGTCTTTACATCAAGTACTGTCTTCTGCATAACATACTTTCGAGATCCCACAGCCTGGTGGTCTCTACTGCCGAGCTGGTAAATCGACGCGCAATCGCCCGTTCTACACTTCTTATTGGACGTGGCCCAGCCGCCATTGCTCGGCTCGCTCGTGCTCCTATCTGAGAGGGTGTGCAGGTGGCCACGGAAGAAGGGGCGGGGGGTGCATACCGGGGCGCAAATTATACCGACATTGATCTCGATGAAGCACCAGACGTACTGGTCGAACTCGTTTACGATTGCGAGTAGGTATACAGGTAACTCGTTCAAGTCTCGGGATAGTTGGTTCACATCAGCCGATCTTTGCGGATCCGGTACGGCGCAAGGTTGTTGGGAGCCCAGGATGATCATGGACGGAGCGGTTCATGTCCCGCTAGGTCACTGTTGCATATGGTCTGATACTCTGGGTTCAACTCTTCTGCCCCTGTTGCCGATACAGGGGCGACAGTCGGAGGATGAGTCTCAGGAACTCTAGTTTTCTACGCAGATCTCTCGGAGTGTGACCTATGTCGAAGTGTGGATTCATATGATAGAAGAACACCACCCAAGAATGGCTTAGGGGCTACTCACCCTAAGTACCCAATCAGTACGAGGGGTTCCCATCTGGCCTTGGGGCTTCTCTACTTCCAGGCTTGACTTTCAGCTGCGAGTATTCGGTAAGTAATGCAATTCGGTAAATTCAGATATCTTGTCTTCGTCAACTTTATCAGCTCCTGTTGTTCTAAGCCAACCATTTCGCCAGTCGCCCACATCTGGTATCGACTTTCATCGTGAAGTATTCGTGCTCGTAGCCGGTGGGCATTTGCCATGGCGAACGTCTTATTTGCTAGCTGCGACCTCCCGCCCACAACGCTCCCAAACTTCCTTCCCGGTCAGTATAGTCGTAATAAACATCGCGATACCAACTGTCCCAGGATCCAATCTGATCCAACCAACTACCGTGCCAGGCAGGACAATATCGAGAGCATTCGCCACGACCATTCTGCCCAGCCCATGTATCTTGCCCCGCACCTCGCGAATCCATAGCCCTCTCGCCTTCTTTCTGTCCTTGGCGATATTTCGAAGGCGCTCCTGCTCCTTCTTCATGTCGAACACCTCTGGGTCGTCTGTCTTTTCCTTCTCGGTTTCATTATGGCCCTCCACTTTTCCATGAGAGAACCCATCGCCCGTGGCCGGAACAGGAGTGTAGGCCATGACCTGGACCATTTTCAGCAGCCCCGAAAGGACGCCGCAAACTAGGGATAAGAGCCAGAAGCGTTGACCTTCAACGGTGATGGTACGCTCCAATTCCTGAGTCCAAATAGCGAGCCCATCAATCTGCAATGCATTGACGATGGTCGTGGCTTCGAGAAGTAGATACATGCCATTGAATGTGCGCCCAAAGACGTCCAACCAAGCCTCGGTCTGGACCCATGTGGGATCCCGCGAGGCTTTGGGTGTTTGGGGCTGAGAGATGTTCATATAGAGGGCATGGGCGGAATGGAACGATTCCAAGAAGCGGAATAGTCGAATGAACCGCCGGCCTAATGCTAGGCGCTGGATGAGGGCGAGCAGGAGTGATTTCGTCACCACGGGCGAATGAGGTTTAGATGTGCTGTACTCCAGAAAGTAGATAACCAGACCCAAGATGGAAGGAAATGAAGCTATAATTTGGGCGACGGAGTGAAATAGTCTGAAGGTACGTTCAAGCCCGACTTTGATGAATTAGCCAATGAGATGAGTAGTCGGGCATCCCGCCCTAGGTCACCGGCATCAAGTCACAGGAAAAGGGTGATAGAAAGGCGAATGTGAGGCCACTGGTCCCCGCCCACCAGATGCGTTTGGAGGGACGCATAAAGGCAGGTAACTGGAACAATCAAATCATGGGGTTGCTGGCCTAACCGATTTCTTATCCAAAACAAGTACACTTGGCCCTTCGAATGCAGGCATAGTTCAGGCCCCAGCTTTCTTGAGAATCCCAAAGACAGTGGAACTGCTTCATGAGTTGAATAGACTCCATAAAAGCATGTGAGACAGCGAGGCCTATGGCGCAATGGAAACATGAAGAGCTTCAATGCGTACCTGAATCCGTGGTAAATGTGACGAGTTGTTCCCAGGAGTGTGACGCCATGGTGCCAATCGGAAATTGGCGGGTGCCAAGACTTCAAGACCTGCTGATTCTCTGGTAAACACGAAGGCGTGAGAAGACGTATGCGATGTAGACAAACTCAAAATCAAAGCACCACTAGTCCCTGCTCAACGTCTCGGGTAGTGTGAAACTACATAGGCAGATAGGAAGGAACGCTTGTGATTGAGTTTCCCAAACGAAGGGAGATTTCGGTGTGTCCCGTGAAGGCGCTAACGCTTTGTGGGCTTCATGGAGGGTTTATTATGGGTCGGGAACGTCGGCGCACCTGCCCCGAACCTAATCTCTCAACTTCAGATTATAAGCAAGTATTTTTCGCTACGCTGTGGTACAATAATTATTTTCTGAGTTCTGTGGATTTGGTTTTGATTTCCTCCAAGCACCGCATGAAATTCTGGCCTCAGTCGATGACACGACAACGTTCAGTGCATCTACGCCAACTCTGAAAAGTCTACTCCCCGGAGGTCACTATCCGACGCAGCATTGGGGCTCTCGCTCATGATGGGAGGATCTGCCTTAGCAGATGTTGTATCGCGTCATGATAATCTACCCAAGTGTTATGTTAATTTCCAATGTTGAGCAGATCGCTGTACCTTTGAGTTCGTGGGTTGGTCTTTCGTGGTGGGGAGTCCTGGTGCGAGGCACATATGCGTAGCTCGTCGTCGGCTGGCTGGCTTGCTGCGTGCTATCACCAAACACCCTGCGTTATTTGGTCAAGTGTTGTGAGGATTCTAAAGACTTCCACTAAGAGGATCTGCCCTTCACCATTTCATGATCACTGTTTATCCGCCACTACCATTTGGGGCTGCAACGATCTGGAGGAAGACTGCAGTCATCACCCATGGTGTTTATCATCCACCAGAGCTTGCTGAAAGGAATCCAACTTTCCGACTTGATAAATAGTATGGATCCTTGTTCCTCGCAGGCTTTGAGCCAGCGGGTCACGGCTATCAGTCTTCTTAATGAGAAGCTACCTCAGCCCTGGTTGAACCAGACTGACGGAGACGCCCTCTTTGCTGCAGTCCTGATTATCGCTAATCGAGCGTCCTTCATGGAGGATTCCATGATAAAATTCATAACCATGATTAGGAGATGCAATCTCGTTGCAACTTATCGTCACGCCAATCTTTGCGGAATCCGCCTTTAGCTCTTTCTCCGGGGAACCACACCTTAACAAGATGCAAAAGTTGATTGGTAAGCAAGGAGATCCCGAAAGAGGCGAGGGACTGGTCACCGGCTTTATTAAATATATACGTCGGATAGGGTCACTTTGCAGGAATATCACAACACTGAAATATTGCATTGCTTTACAGGAGGTGGTCAAAATTGTCAGGGTATCATGGGCGGCCGGTCCGTCCTCAACCCCTTGCTATTACCAGCCAGTACATGGCGTTAAGTGTTCATAGCTTGGTTCACGTTCTCGAAGCGCCTAATGGCACCGAGCGAGATGAGCCAAGAGAAGTTCATCTCCTTTACACACATTAAAAGCTGGGCCGTCCATCTATTACTCGTCCACGAATTTCTTCTCGACTATCTCCTTACGGATCATCCTCTCAGAGAAAATCAACGGCCTGTTCTTCATATTTGCGAACGACCGATTCTCTCGTGGGTGGAGAGGGTAATTAAGCGACTGCCGCCAGATCATGAGTTAATGGCCTGGCCAACTGCAAATCGTGCATTTCTCCAACATAGAGACAAGCCGCTCTTCACCGACTTATCATACACCCTGTCCATCTCATGATTCTTAAGCCTGTCGGACGTGTCTCTTCATCGGCAAGACCACCCGTAAGCGCTGGGAGGTATATTACAAGTGACGCGAGGTTTTGGCAAATCATTGCTGGGCTGCGCATATCACCATTTGGCAAGCCGTCGAAGTTTTCTTAATTTCTTGCATGATTGGTATTACGGAAAATCTAGTTTCAATTGCTTGAAAGCTGTTCAGGGTATCGCAGTCGCACCATCATGATTGGCTTCCCGCAACCATAACCAGATAGTTGCTTGGGCGATGGAAGTACGTGATCACAATCGCAAAGAGCATAGGAAGACCCTCAAATCTCCAAAAGAGCCATCTGACCGAATGAACACCAATGGAATCTTGTGCGCGGTCGACAACGCAGTAAATGGAGACGGGCTTAATGTGGCTCTAGATCAATTTACGACAGGCAGATTGAGGACGGCGCGACTCTCGCCACATCAAGAGTAGTTGACGCGGTAACTTTGGTGGGCAGTCCTTGTCAAGCTCCTGGCTTCGCCGAGACAGCCTTATATGCCAAGATATCGAACTGACCAACAATCATGCAAAGGAGTCAGAGTCTCTATTTCTGAAATTTGCGCCGGTTCTACTGTAGGGTGCTTTAAATCTCAACCGCGCCAAGGCAGGCGGCAAGTCAGATGCACTGTAATATTCCGAAAAATATGAGATTGCAGGAGATTCCGATAGAGTTTCGTCGGAAGAAAGACTACAGATTCAAGATGCCGCCGGGATGCCGTCCAAACTATAGAATGGGGGCTGGCCTGTCAACGTTCGTCAACCAGGGAATGTTGCCGGCACCGCATTGCTCCCAGTGTAACTCGGGATTCCGACCCAGAGGAAATCTCAAGCAATGACGCAAGGTGTCCAAGTCAGAATGCCCAACCACAGAGGCGAGTCGCGGTCGTCACACAGGATGCGAGTTCTGCTAAGTAAAAGGGGTCGGTTCAATTGCCTGAGCTCGCACGACCGAATCCGGCTCACCAAGACCGATAAAACACCACACCACCAAGCGCGAATATGAGGAAACGCGGCGTGGATAGTCTCTCGACCAGTAGATAATTCCCGGATATCGCGAAAATGGGCCAGGACGGTGGAGGCTAATGTCACGGTCAAGGAGGCATGGATGAGAATTTCTATTGATAACCGGCACTGCCATGTAGCTGAGCCACTATCAAAAAGTACGGAATGAAACAGTTGAATGCGCCTTTCACCGCTGTATAGATAGGGGGTACTCAGCCACTGCCGCCACCGCCACATACCGGCTCCCTATTCATAGATTATCCTTGAAGACTGATGAGTGACACAACATAGAGCTGACGAACCTGCCTGTGGTTTGATCATAGTATGTTTCTCTTTATTGACTTTTCTTGTGAAAGGCTTTTATCACCAAGTTCTGTGAACAGACGGTTTTTCATCAACTTGATATTTCCATTGTTACTCAACTCCAGAGTCTAATCAGTCATATTGGGGGTCACTTCGATGCAATTGACTCACTGAGAGAAGCCTCGTGTACCGCATGTTGACGACATAATCTTCACAATCATAGCAGGCGAATAGCAAGAGGATACGACAGCAGCTTGATGGCTGTGGGTAACAACGTTCGTTATCTTAATCTAAAATCTATGGACGTGTCAATAATGTGACTATTTTTGCTGATAAGATCGCGCTGATTATCAATGCTGGTGGTAGCCATATATTGCATACTGGTCCGACGGTGTATCCATTTCGCCTGCGAGTCGAAATGGCAGTGACGTTGGCAGATCTACTTTGTTTTTCTTTGTACAGCGGTTCCAAGGTTGCCTATGCTATGTTGCAGATACGCCTCTCTATATAGCTCAAGGTTTTCCCCAGAGCAGCTATCATGACTCCTCTAATGCGACCCCGTATCCCCAGTGCCAAGCCCTTGGAAATGGCACCACCAAAGCATGCCAGCGGCCGTCAAGCCTCTGATGACGTGGGCACGGCGAGTTCCTGCTTTCAATCTGGCGAAATAAAACCTAAAAGTTCAGTGAGAAGTGTCAAACAACGCAATAGCCCCCCCCTCCTTAGTAATTACACATTATCAGTACAACCCACACTTTGACCATAGGATACAAAAATGTAGACTCATCGTTTCCTCCGGGAAACGGATTCCAAATCCTCAAGACACCTGAACCAAGGGCCGTGCCCTCTGGAAGCTTGACAGGCCATGAGTCACACACGCCTCTAATCATTATGCGTCCTATATTCTAATGAAAAGGCCCCCACCACTCAACTCTCTCTCTGTCTATCTGTCCTCGTGGGGTAACGCAGGCCAAGGCGATGCCAAGTATTGAAAATCGCCCTTTGATCTGCAAATTCCCCAACATCTTACCTCAAACGGCTCATATGCGCTACTACTGTGATTCGTCTCCCGGCATGCGTTGCGTTGCGGGGTACATGGAACTTGGGCGATAGCGCATGGCTAGTGCGGGTCGAAACTATGATCTCTATGCGTGTAGGGTCTGTGGCATGTGGAAAATTCGTGGTCGATGCGGTTTATATAACTGACGTTGCCGTCTTAGCAATGGGAAAAAAGCACCCCATTCTAGCCTGTTCATCTTCACCGAACGAAAGCTGAGGCGAACACCTTACATCCATCCATAAGAGTCGTTTGAATAACGTTATTTGATTCTATCCATCCAAACATCCCGACTCGCCACCCATCACGGTTCGATGTCTCCGTACTCCAAGTACTGCTGCAAATGTGGTAGTATGCTGGTCATCAGCACCAAGTGTCCGTCGTGCCAGGTGAGTCGGGTATTGATCCTAGTTGCCTGTTTTAGGAACTGGTGCTAGACTACCTGATGAAATCAGTGTGGACATGCCAGCCAATATTTGTTAGAACACGAAAGCTAATTCATGTCCCGCACAGCACAAGGAATGCTCATCATGCATGTGAAAATAATTTAATCGCACAATCAAGGTAATATTCTCCCTTCTCTGTACTGATCATATAATACTAAACATAATCAGAACAGTTCTCTTCATTTCGTTGGATATGCATGGCCGGAACAGGTGCCTTATCAAAAGTATCACCGATTAAGTGGCTCATATCGTACACATCAAGTGACGGGCCGGAGATTGCACGAGTCAGAAAGCAGGGATAGTGTGTATGATCTATAGGAATTTAGGACCCTGAGATGCGATATCTACCTAAAGCTCAAGCAAAACGCCTGAATGAAAACTTCATCTTCTGCAACTGACGAAATTCTGGCATGTGCCCATTTTTCCCTCCTGGGGTACAGTGCGGAGCTATGCTTGATCAAGATGAACCATGCATCTTCCGGGTCATCTGATGTTTGGTGTAGCCACCTGGTCGTCTGGACTTATCAAAATGCGAACCTTCACGCTTCAGACCATTGCTCCGATGATGCTAACTATCGTTGCTGCTTGACCGCTAACCTCTGCATCTGAGATCCTCGAGGAAGTCCTGGGTGGAATCTCAGAGGCGCCGCTAAAGATTATACATACCTCCAATATCTTGCTAT